GATCGATTAGCCACCGACCATTATCGGCCGATATTCACTCTTAATAGTTTGATCTGTGCTCTCTATAAAGGCCGATCAGGAGAGCTGGATCTGATCGATATGGACATAAACGCGAGTGAAGTGTAACCGGACGAGAGAGAGGTCAGATCAGCTGCTGCATAATCACCTGAAGCCCCGCCCACTGTTTAGCGCGCTGCATGAGAAACTGACGGGCTGTCAAGAGAGAGAGAGGGAAAGAGAGGATCCGTTTCTCCCGTGTTATTATTCAAAGTTAATGTAAACTTTTGAATAATGTACTTCATCTACTGCAAGTAGTTTTTTTGAATGTAATAATTTTTTTTTTTGTGGAATCATTTATTGAGAAATGAATCTGAATTTTTCGATCTACTACGATTATAAACTGAAGCAATATAAAAATGACTCATTAACTGAGTTTTAAACATCGGCATATCCGGTCATAGTCCAGTGATTACCTGCCAACAGAAACTCTGCTACACAATTCTTATTATTATTGAAACATGACCGTTAAGTTTCAAATTTGTCCGGTAAAATAAATTCTGTCCGGACATTTGATCGGCAAGAAAAAATCCTAGCGGAAACCCTGCTCTGTGTATGTGTATTCACTCTGTCCTAAACGGCTTGTTGGAGCTCCTGCCAATTTAAAAATCTAACACCTTATCATATCAAACCTACACAATCTAGTTCTGGTGTCACAAAGCAAAGCTTTAACCCTTAACACCTTAACCTGAGCATGTATTCTGCTTCATCGTAGAAATGTCTAACCACTACTGTTACCAAGGTTGGTTTTTATTTGTACTTTTCAGAAGACAGAATGTTTTACTAATAGTGCCTGTGGTTGTTTGTAGGTTTAAAGGCTTTGGAATCCACTCCAAAGGAGAAAGATGACTGCAGCTCGATGACAATTGTCAATCAAGAGAAGATGCCAGGTATGTATGCCCAGTGTTAATTAGACACAGCTGTTCTACTCCCCTTGAACTTGCTTTGAAACTTTCTTAAAATCTAAATGCAAGACCGTCTTAGTCTATGGAAGTAAATCCAGCGTTGCCTATAACACCAGCTGCCGTTGGATCACCTATTTCAGGCACTGAAACCTCTTGTGTTTGACTGCCAGACATCACCACAATGTTATTCAGTTGGTGTCGGTGGACTGGTCGAAACTGCAGCAGTGTTTTTTTTTCTTTTCCTTAAGGCAGCCTCAGTGGTCAGTCCCTACACCCCGTTAATTTAGGGTGCCTTGACACAATCTAGTGCAGTGGTTCTCAAACTTTTTCTGTCAGGCCCCCCCTTACAATACAATTGTCCAATCCCTTTGCTAGAACAATAAGTTATAATACTTTGCAATCTGTGCAAAAAAATGAAAATGTCTTTATCAGGCAGAAACCAAATAAGAAAAAGTACATGTCATACAGCAGAACATCAAGCAAAACCAAGCCAACCCGAATTACCAAATGATGTCCAAGGGAATTTCACAGCATTAACCTTAGAATTGACTCTTGCTTCATCATAAAATGTCTATCCAAATTGTTACTAAGGTTGATTTTTATTTTTCAGTGGAACCCACTGTGTTTTACTTACTATGCCTGTGGTTTCTTGTAGCTTCAAAAGAGCTGGAATCCATCACAAAGGAGAACGATGAGAGCAGCGTGATGACAGTTGTCAATCCAGAGAAGAAGCCGGGTATCTATTATTTCAATTTGAACTAGTGTTTGATAGATTCCAGAAAAAAGGATTATGTTTTCAATTATCATAAAAACAAAATTATTCTTCTGTTTTTCTTTGCAGAGGAACCTATTGAATCATACAAATTACACTGTCAGGTAACAAAATATCACTAACACATTTAATTACTGTATCCTGGAAGTTATTACTGTACCTCATGGAAAACATAAAAATAACCTAAGCTTTGTTTCACATTTGTATCTCACTTTTGGCAGAACTGCGGTTGTGGCTTTAACTTCTTCTCTAAATACTGCAAACACGTGTCGTCATGGAAACACCAAGAGGTAAATCGACATTTTCAATGCTTCCTACAGAAGGTCTTATGCTACGGAAACTTACATACTATAATATCTGTCTCTCATGTTCCTTTTCTAGATGGTGAATAAATGTGTTGGCGGAGGTACCATTTCACTTTACTCTTATTTTTAATAATATGATGTATTGTTCAATAAGATATGATAATATTCTTCCTTTTCTTACAGGTGCTGATTGTTATGGCCAACAGGGTAAACGTTATACCTTCTGTTACAACATGCTGCAACACTCATTTATAAATTAAAACAATATTGGGAAAATTTCGGAAAAAAAGTAGTTCTAAAACGAATCACACCCTATATACATTTTCCTTCCATTTTCTTGGGTGACTGTGGCTGCGAGGGAGTGTGGTCGTCTTTCAACCAGAAGGTTGTGGGTTCGATCCCAGCCCATGCAGTCAACATGTCGATGTATCCTTGGGCAAGATACTTAACCCTGAGTTGCTCCCGATGGCATGGCCAACGGTGTGTGAATGTGTATGAATGTTAGGTCCTATAGAGTAAGGTACACTGCTCTGTATGAATGGGTGTGAATGGGTGAATGACATGTAGTATGTAAAGCGCTTTGAGGGGTCTTAAAGACTGGATAAAGCGCAATATAAGTACAGTCCATTTACCATTTACAATGATTAATGTTATAACAGTTTCCTAAAATATGCCTTTGTCCATTTTGGAAACTCATTACACTAAAGGAACAAGGATTGAGTTGATTTTAACATGTTTTTATTCATGTAAATCTATTATATTATTTTAAGCTTTTCCTCCTAACCTCTTCCTTTGAAACATTAGGATGGGTACCTGAACTGGGCCTCTACTATATCCACAACGAGAGCTTGAAGCTAAAACAACCCCTTATTGGTGAGCACTTTAACATACGTTTTGTTAGGTGTGAAACTGAAATATATATATATATATATATATATAATTTCTTAATGTGTTGTTTGTTTGTGTAGGTGTTTCCCTGGTTATGACGTTTGTCTGCAATCAGGTTGAGAGCAAACCTTTTTACATTTGCTTCGCTTGTGAGGAGTGTTTCTCCGAGTCCTCTCTCAGACAACACTTACACTCTACACAACATCTCGTAAACACGTTGGTGAGCTTTGAATGGTTTATATGGTTGGTGTGTATTATAGTGACTCCTGTTCTCATTGAAAATGTGTATTACTTTTTTCCGCCACACACATTTTTGCCTATCAACAGTAACAAGGAAATGTACATACTATCTATTTGAAAATGATACTTTTTTAATAAGTTCAACTTATGATACAGTACCTTCTTGTTTTAAAATGATCAGCTTTTGTCTTGAATTCTCAGCTGTACCAGAACCCGTGGCGGCTTACTTTTGCTTGGAAGAGTTGCCTTGATCTTTCTTTTTTGAGATCAATGGCATGGGAAGAGGAGAAGGAAAGAGGAAGAAATGAGAGAAAGCTGAAGGTAAAATGCCCAATAACTCGAACAGAGCTGTGAAAACTGTGAAGATATTCAAAAGCTTATTTTGCATTTAAAAGGAATCTAACTTTGATAACCACGTCAGGGTTTCCGTTAGCCGGTAATTACCGGTTTTTAGCTGGTAACATTTATTGAAAACCAGACATTTTTAATTTACCGGTTTTCAATAAATTAGGGATGCTCCGATCTATCGGCCGCCGGTCATTATCGGACGATATTCACTCTTAATACTGACGGGCTGTCGAGAGAGGGAGAGAGAGGGAGGGAGAGAGGGAGAGGGAGGG